AATTATAATCACCAAGAAGGAAAATATTGTCTTATATAAAATGAGCATGTATTGCGTTTTAAAATGTGACAAGCATAATAAACATACGAATAAATAATACCAGTTTTAGTAACCTTATCCTAGGAAACCAGGTATGAACCTCTGTTAGCCCCAAGATGGTAGCTGAAGGGAAAATTGGCCAACAAAGGATTTTGCATTAAACACCTCTGCTATAGAGGAAAACATATGAGCAACATACTAGATTAAAAACTCCTACAAGTAGTGATCAAATAGAAAAGTTACAAAAACTAAATGCCACACAGTAATAACAGTAATAAATAAGAGTAAATAAAATAGTAATACCAATAATTTAGCACTCACAGGTACTCTACTTGACTCATTTTATCAATCTTATCTTTTTGAATGTCAGCATAACTATCATCCTATTGGTACTTTATATGACAATCCGAAATCAAACTGTCAAAATAGATATTGGAGGTTTTCTTCTACATCAAAATTTCAATTCATCCAATATGTATCAAGATTATGGAGTACTTCTACTATGAGACAGGGACGAGGCTTAATGAATCCCTAGGAATGTATTAACCTATGGTTGCTAGTATATTGGCGTTCATTGACAGTTTTCCCATTTATATGCGACAGGCTCATTCAGTAGTTTGCAGACATTAGGCACCAATTATATATATATATATAAAAAAAAAGTTTTTGAAGCTTTACTTTCACTTTAGGTGCTATGGCTGAAAATCTTACCACAGAAATGATAACGCTACTATAAGAGAAAACCAAAGTCTGTCCAATGAGATGACAGCATGGCAATGGTCATATCTGATGCCACCTGCTACTTTGTCCACAATAGCCATGGCATGTACATTCATTCTAGCCGGTGGAAAGTGATTAACATATTAGTTGAGGACTGTATAACACTTTACTTACCTGTACCAGAATCATGTTGAGTTTATTCAAGTAAACCTTTTCCCTTTCCAGGGACTCTGGTGTGCTCGACAATTTGATGATGACATTGACGATATATTTTTTTATACCTGCAAGAAAAAACTCATGAAGCAACTTGAGATGAACATGTCATCAATTGAATACAAAATAAGTAAATAAATAAAATGACTACACACACAAAATAAATTAGTGATTTGCTAATAGCAGCAGATAAGACATCAGAATATATATACACAAGACAAACATTCTAAATGTAATGCTGCAAGTCATTATCAAGATAGCTTTAGATAATGATAATTCTTTAAGAGATGCTTACAGTTTTAAAGGTAGGAATGAACTTTCTCGTAATTACTTAACAAATATTATACACTAAAAAACAAATAGTAAATAGTAAATACCAAAAGAAACAGGCAGTTTGCAGTTATTACTTTCAACATTTAGCAATATATTATAAATGTACATGTACTTCACCGTAATGATGATACATCAAACTGATTCAAGACACATGTGGCTTATAGCAAATTTCAACATCAGTGGCTTAAAATTTAAAGTTTTTAAGCATATAAAAACCTTTAAAAAGCAAGTGATGAGACACTGCTGGATACTGATTTCTTATAAAAAAAAGGTTTACAATATCAAAAGAACTTATTTTCTCTTTCATAATTATAATTTCAATAAAAATAGAGCAAGTCAATTTTGAATTGAAAGTAGTATCACCGGTAAATATCACACAAGGAAATCTCTTTCGTTACTTGATACTTTCACAGCATATTGTATACACTTACCACTAAATATTAAATGCATCACATAACTTATCCTACACTTTATGAAATATTTCCCTGTTGTAGCATACACAATTTGATCAGCTGATGATATAAGCAATATATAGCTCTTTTAAAGCTATGAACAGATAAATATGTACCATTATATTCAAATTCATTTTTTAAATGCCGGCACAATCAAATGAAGAAAAAGAGCATTTATTGCATGAAAGCTCCCTAAAAAGCTGCTGTATCATGAACTAAAAAAGAGGTCAAAGTATTTTCACAATGTCTAAGGTTAACCGAGACTAATTTATGAGCCTGGAAACTAGTACAATAAACCCTTTGATATTCAAGGTGAAAAGAATACGACAACAAACCTTCACATTGATCACGAGGAAGCACCTTCCATCTTGTATTGATGACCTGTTCCAAGATCTGTAGTGCATAGTACTTTGTCTGTTGGTTCTGGGAATACTCCAGAATAGCATCAACCCGTGTCCAAGCATCTGGATGTTCTTTCAGTGTAGTGAGAACCTCTTGGGCTATCCTTTGCTGTAAGGGTTATGTAAGACATTAAATTACATCCCTCCAGTTAGATTAACAATGTAAAACATCAAGAGCCCACTTTCTATTACATATTCAAATTACGACACACTGCATACTCTTACCTGTTCTCCGATACCATTGTACATACACCCAATTACATTATCTAGAAGGGGTATGTCTAGTTTCTGGTTGAAATCTAGGAGTTTGGAAGCTTCTACTGTCAAACTCATTTTTTCAATCTGGAAAAATTTACAATATGTAAGGTTTTATGGAAAAGATTTACATAAATATGTCATGGCACTAAAATAAATATGAATAAAATAATTATGAACAAGTGACTTTGCTACCATGTTACATATAAAATTTAAATAAAATGCTTAATAACAGCTTTAACACAAGGATCACGGTGTCTTATATCAAAATGAAGATACCAAGGTACTGGAAAATCAATAAGGTTTCTTACTAAATCAAATTTCATTAAATTTCTGCATAGTTCTGTGTAAGCTGGGGTTTTGATATTAACACGGTTGTAAAACAACAACAACAGATCACAAATGTCACACAACTAGTTCTCCGTTTCTTTCCTATTACTATATACTCTGTTCTGGTTATGTTTACTTGACTACAGGCTGAAAATTGAATAACAATTTGTTTACAACTTTGCTAATCAACCATAGCTAGTTAATCCATCTTAATCTATTCTATCCAACTTTACTTTCATTATGGCAAATATCTCGGAGAAAAAACAACATTTACTCTTATGTTACTACAAATCTGTAATAAATGCCAATGCATCTCTTGCAAAGATTTTGGAATGTATTATTAATGGTGATGATAAAAGATCAAAAGCTGTAAACAAACCCACACCAAAGTACTCCCTTATAAACACATGTTACAATATTCAGACAAAACACACTATTTGGGAACCCAATGCCAACAGACGCTTTGTACACCTTACTGGATACGCACTGGGAACCACACAATCGGCCGCACAAGGGAATAATTGGATATATGTGTAAAATATAATTTCCTCACACTCTAAGATCTCCATGAAACAATTTCCCAGTGAATATGGCTAGAAACTGACTTTCAATCAACCTTAAAAGAACATAACTCCTTAACCACTGCAGTTAGAGCCAAAAAGTCGAGCAACAGTCTAGAGGACATATCTCTGAAAAGGCTCATCGCACATGCCATCAGTGAAAAGGAAAAGGAATCCAGTCATCTCCTGGCATTATGTATCTCTTTGTGTAAGGGGGTTAAAATAATCTCAAATTAATACTAATGTCAACCTAACCTGGTATCTTTTTTTGTGAGGTCCCAAAATCACATGTTTTGCTCTAAATATTGAAAAATGCTCACCATTTTTCAATATTTGTCATAAAAATATTATATGATACAAGTTGTATAACACTTCGCACTATCAGGCACATAAATGGTATTTCCTAAAAAATGAATGGACTGAAAAGACAAGATTCTGACATGCCACATTTCTTTCTGTGTGCTATATTGATAAATAATATTAAAAGTATCAACACCAGCAGCAGTCACTAGGCTTACTAATGGATTAAAACTATGTCTATTAAATGCTTCATCTATTCTCCAACAGCAAATATACTCCCAATGATTTCAGCATATGAAGTTCTTTGGCTCAATTATCACAAAAATGATAATTTTACTATCCTGTCCATTTTGTTGCATGTCAATTAAGCCCCAAAGGATGAATGAGCTAAATCCAGGGATTCACATCCCGTCTCCCACTTCCGAACCTCCCAACAAGAAGCTCTAACAGCGTGATCTTTAGACGCTGTTCCTACATGAAACCTCTTCCTCCTGTGAGTACACAGCAGGGGATCTGGTGGGGTGTGTGGCAATATTAATCACAACTTCAGGTGTTCTCCTATCACATATATTAGCTCATTCTGAAAATACATCTGAAATTAGCATTTTTCCCTTGTAATGCCACATATACAAAATAATAAAATTAGGTAGATGGAGAAGAAAGAAAGAGATGGTGAACAGTTGGAAGTGGAGGGAGAAAAGGAGGATGAAAAAGTAGGAGGAGGAAAATGGAGAAGGGGGAGGAGAACGGAGGAGGTGGGAAAAAAGGAGAAGAAAAAGAAGAAACAGAATAATAATAATAATAATAATAATAATAATAATAATAATAATAATAATAAGAAAGCAGAAAGAAGAAGAAGAAGAAGAAAGAATAGGAGTGAAGAAGAAAAGAAGAGAAGAGGAAGAAAGAAGAAGAAGACAGATTAAGAAGAGAAGAAAGAAGAAGAAAGAAGAAAGAAGAAGAAAAAGAAAGAAGAAACAGAAGAGAAAGAAGAAGAAACAGAAGAGAAGAAGAAGAAAAGAAGAAGAAGAAACAGAAGAAGAAGAAGAGAAGAGAGAAGAAACAGAAGCAGAAGAAGAAGAAGAGAAGAAGAAGACACAGAAGAAGATGAAAAGAAAAGAAGACAAAAAAGAAACAGAGGAAGAAAAAGAAGGAATAACCAAAACCACCAACACAAGAGTTATAAAAGAGGAGAAACAGAAGATGAAAGGAGGAGAAACAGAAGAAGATAAAAGGAGGAGAAGGAAGAGACACAGATGGATAAAAATGAAGAGAAAGAGATTAACAAAGAGACTGATAAGCCAAACAATAAAAAAAGCAAAAGTAAGAAAAACTGAAGACGCACAAAAAAGGCAGCAGACAGAAGATGAAAGAACAAACCCAAAGCCAAATCAATAAGTGACCTATCCCAAAATCCTGCCTCAACACCCAACGTAGCATTTCTCAAGGTCGTTTCAAAAACAAAACGAGGACTCCACCAAACATCAGGAAACAAAAATACACAAAAAACACTCACTCATGACACAAGAGGGGGGAATCCCATGTGCATCTCTTAGTCACCACATGCTTTGCTAATTCAATCTCATCTTGTTCCAAAGCTTTTTCCTATTCTAATCCCAACCCTTTATCAGTATCAAAATCTAGAGGGAGCATTTTGTTAAAAATAAAGGGAAAGCAAAGAATCCTGCATGGGAGTTTCTCAAGCATGCAACATCAACTTGAAGATTAACACAGGAAAGCACTTTACCTTGAGATACATTGCACCATGTCTTACAACTGGGTTTTTTCCTCAAGAACACACTTAGAATGCAGGCCTCACCATTTACTTATACCATAAATGAGGCATCTCGTTACTTATGCCTCGGGTGATCCGGCAAATAGGATAATCACATAATAGCAGCTCCATAGATCACTTTACATTCTCCAGAGTATCTATATTTGCTATACTGGCATTAAAAAGTATATGATTTTCGTAATATACTGGCTTTAAAGATCTCTGACTCTTTTCTAAAATGAGAAATGGATTAACACTCCATTCGTAATGCTTTTAGATTCACTCGATTCACTCACAACAATGCACGCAAACTTCTTCAAACACACGGGGAGGTAACGGCAAGAACTCTCCTTCGGGTAATCCAATCTCAGACTGCCTTTCCTTGCACCTTTCTCCTTTTATTTTCTCTCTCACAGCCAGGCCACTTTTCCACTCATTTTCACCACAACTAACACGATGCACGCATAGTATAATTCACGGCACACAACTTTCATAATCATTGGCTTTTTTCCAACACTAGCGCCACCTCACTTTAACACAAAAGCACTAATTCTTACATCTTCGAATCCAGGCGCACTTCTCCGCACTCAATCACTTCCAGACACTCACTCCATCAAGGATTTCCTCTCGTAACAATATTTTCTTTCCACTTCTCTCATGCACACACTCAATTAGTGAATAAAAACCACTAATATCTTAAATAATAGATGCTAATGCATCTCATAAATCAAAAGAAACCGAGAAAAAATTCACCATATTCACACACATCACCTAATTCACGGAATTAAGAAAAATCTACCCTATTAATGAAATAAGCACCTTCCTCTTCACAAAACATATCCAAAGGCCTACGACTTGGCTTAGAAAAACGTAAATAAACTCCCTAAATATCCCCGTCTTGCCCTCATGGGATAAAAATTTGGGATATTTAAGAAACCAAAATTATAAATTCAGCATGACACAAAATACAATATTCATGAACAGTGCCCTTCCCATCCCATGAAACCCTAGAAAGTAAGTTTCAAAAAATCCCAAAAATAAATCCAAAAATTTGCGTAACTTATTCCGGGGGAAAAAAATACGTAGGTAGGCCTATCTCCATTGGAAAAAATAATCAAAAATATGTTATTTACCATCTTCTTCACTGCACTGAAGAACAAAGAGGAGGAGGTTGACCCGTTCTATCGAAGACTTTGGGAGGAAAATATAAATCCGAGGAAAAAAAAAATAAAAAAAAAGTCGCAGGTCTCACGTGCACTTTATTTTCCACTAAGGTGAAAAGTCGCCTTCATTTGCACTCGAAATACGTTTATCTGCGATTATTTGAGGCGCCCTGGCACTACGATCCGCGTGGTTCAGAAGCTCAAGTCCAACTGGGAGGGTTCACAGGCGAGGAGGATCGGGAAAATACCGGAAAAATCAACGAAAAGAAAACCTTCCCCGACATTCCTGTTCAACTCGTGCAACGCGGACCCCGCCATTGACTTACCTTTCTCTCTCGTCTAATTCCTCCTCAATCTCTCGGTCTGGGACATTCACCGGCGGTTATTCCTAGCTTACGACAACTAAGTACATCGCCCGGGAGCGTGTGCGGCCATGAAAATAGGAGAGAGAGAGGGATAACGTGTCCCGCTGCGTTAAGGCGTTCAATCCATAGGCCATGAGAAGTTCGGTTTGAAACTGGTTCAAACCGGATCGCGTGAGGGAGCTCTCTCGCCTATTTTCGCGCTTTATTTGCCCTTCGCGAGGCCCCGGCGCCCCTTTTCTGACTTAGGGCCAGGGGGTTTCGCTCTCTGGCTCGGTGGGGCTCGGTCGTGCTGTAGGAATAGAGGCTGGGGAGGTAGGTTTATGGACATTATTGGTGTTTTTCTTTGTAAGATGTTTCTACACCAGAAGCATGGATCGTCTTCCCGCGTTAAATCGGCGTCGCTGATTGGCCCACGGGGAAGGCAGCGGGCCAATCGCGCGGGGGATTACAAACCGACACGTTTTCTTTGCGCCGAAGGAAGATGGCGCGAATTTTCGAAATGGGAACGTGGTCTTAGGAGCCACGACTGAGGCTGGCCACTTATTAGGGCCATTACCTCGCAAGATGCCTGGCTGTCGTGGTCTGCTCGGGGAGT